CATATTTTAAAAATTTGATGTACATATATTGTATGATATCTTCTGCAACTTATTTACCCAGGAGTTTTAACTTGAACTTTGTGGTGGGGCATATAGTTCTTTTAAATTCATTGTCACCTCTGCATAGGTTTTCATCATATAACTCGACCATTGCATGTCTGCATCTACTCCCCAGTTGATGTGCACTTAGTTAAAAGCAGTTCTTTACTTTTATAAACAATGTTGCATTGAACACTTTCGAATGTGCCCTTTTGCCAAACTGTGTTGATCCAAGACAGGCAGCTACAAATGGAATTGTTAGGTCAAACTTTTTCTCTCTGAAGGAGTTGTACCAATTTGTATCCCTACCAGCAGTGACAAGAATTCCCATATTTCCTATTGATCTATAGCTTGACCAACACTTGGTACTGGGACACTTTAAAAATATTTCCAATAGGTTGGGTGAGAAAGAATACTTTTAGGTTTATTTCCATTTCTCTAACTACTAGTTGGATTGAGCTTCTGTTCTTGTTTATTGGTCATTGGGTTTCCCCTACTTTAAATTGTTGGTTCTTGTCCTTTGCTTGATTTTCTATTGGGTCATTTCTTTCTTATTGATTTATAGGAGTTCTCTATAAATTGAGAATTCTAATCCTTAGTCAATTTAATGTGTTGCAAATGCCTGTGAAAATATATTTGCAACACATTAAAAATGAAGCTTGTCTTTGCTTTGATTTTTGATGTTTTTTGTTGTACCAAAATTCTTAATTTTAATGCAGCCAAACATTTTATTCTTTTCCCTTATATTTTATATGTATTGTAACTCATTTGAGAAATCTTTCTTTTTTCCAAGGTCATGAACTGTTCATCTATATTTTTTCTAAAGATTTTTAAATATTGTTTTTGTATATTTAGCTATTCATTCTGTTTGGAATTTATTTTTATATATGATGTGAGGTAGGGATCTAATTTTCTGTCTTCCTTCTTAATCATTTTTCCCAGCACTATTTGATGAATCTTGTCCTAATTAATCAACACCACCAATACAATCATCTCTCCAGTTTCCTTATATTCATGGGTCTCCTTTGTGGCTATCTTTTCTTTCACTAACGCATTTCTCTGTCACTGCCCCAAGTGCCACTGTCTTCATGATTACAGCTTTATAACAATTCCTGACATCTAGTAGGCCAGATTCCTTCCAGAAACCTCCCACATCATTGTTTTAACAAAACCCTGCTGGGATTTTTCTTATTGAGTTGCACTGAGTTTATAGAAATTTGGAAAGAGATAACTTCTTTAAAAATATTAAGTCTTTCCATCTTTGAACATAACGTGGGTTGAGCATCCCAAAACTTGAAATGCTCCAAAATTCAAAACTTTTTGAGCACTGACATGATGCTCGAAGGAAATGTTCATTGGAGTGTTTTGCATCTCAGATTTTTGGATTTGGGATGCTTGCTTCATGAGTATAATTCAAGTATTCAAAAATCTTAAAAAACCCAAAATTTGAAACACATCTGATCCACACATTTCAGATAAGGGATACTCAGCCTGTACATCTCTACACTTATTTTTCTTCGTTAATATTGTTCCATGAATTTATAATTTTTTTACATAAATATCATGCGTATATTTTGTTAGATTTATTTCTACCTGCGTTGTGGACTGTGTTGCTATTATAAATGTATTTTCTCAAAAAGTTTGTATTGTAATTGTTTTTAGTTGATGTGTACGACTGGTATTGATTGTGTGTCTTAATCTTTTATTCAACAATCTTTCTCAACTTTTTTTTTTAATTTTATAAAAAATGACAGCAAATTTTATTTTTTAAAACAACCCCGTCAGTCCCGCCCTTTTCCCTCACAAGAGTATAATAGCCACGAATGTAGGGATCTTGTCTTTCTCATTCAGTTCCTCAGGAGGTATTTGTTGGATGAAATAATAAAATATCCAATTTGGGATATAGTGTCCACTCACTGTTATCAAAGTGGTTTTATTAATACATAACTGCTCTCTCTGCTGAAAAGGGACTTCTTTTTTTCACCTGGCAGCCTGGTCTCCCACACTCAACCTGACTCCAGATTCCCAAAATAACTGGGCCCCTCCATGCTGCCGGGGCTTTGTGCCCTTGTCTCTTCTAAGCCAGGCAAACGTGTCTGTCCCCTTCAGAGGCTCGCCCTGGTCTCAGCTCTTCCGGGAAGCTTTCTTGGATTTTCCCATACTTCAGATAGATGTGTCCAGAAAGTAAACAAACAAACCCAAAAAGCAAACAAGAATTAAGGTAAACCATATGCTCAGAGCATCAGCCTTAAAACCAAGCGTCCAGAGCCATATGGAAAGGTACATAGAATAAATGACATTATGATGGCACAAACCGCTGCTGCAGTCTGGGAAAAGAAACTTATGAATAACAGATAGGAAGCCGAGCTCCACCAATACATCATCATGTCAACAATTAGAAGGAATAGAAACACTGGATCCAGACGCCCCCACACTCAGACAGTGAGTCAGAAAAAAGAAGAGCAAGAGGACAGAAACGCATTGTGTATCGATGCTGCTCATTCCTGTGCCGTTTCCTAAGCACTCTATTCTGTGAGTGAAAACAAAATATATTTGAACCTTTTATTCCAGGCTTTTAAAAAATCACTTCAATTTTCCTCCTCTGATAAATGTTTTACGAGTTCCTTTTTCTGATGAAAGATTTTGCTGTGATTAAAGATTTCATGAAGTTATGACAACAGAGGAATAGATCTTCATTCTCGGAAGCTCATTTTTCTGTGAGCTGAGCGAAGAGGCCTCTTGTAGGCAGCTGTCAGAGCTAATGAATGTTTTCCAAGCGCCAAACCTCTGGGGAAGACAGCCCCACCCAGAAAACCCAGACTCAACTGATGGGAGCTGTCATCTCAAGGTGTGCGGCACCCTGTTGACGCTGTGCTACATGATATAAATGGTGACATACGGCCAGGCGCCGTGGCTCACACCTGTAATCCCAACACTTTGGGAGGCCAAGGCGGGCAGATCACCTGAGGTTAGGAGTTTGAGACCAGCCTAGCCATCATGGCGAAACCCCGTCTCTACTAAAAATACAAAAATTACCTGGGCATGGTGGCGGGCACCTATAATCCCAGTTACTCAGGAGGCTGAAGCAGGATAATTGCTTGAGCCCAGCAGGTGAAGGTTGCAGTGAGCTGAGATCGTGCCACTGCACTGCAGCCTGGGCGACAAGAGTGAGACTCTGTCAAAAAAAAAAGAGAAAAAGAAATGGTGACATGCTGCCGCTTTCCCCCTGAGAGCAGGTCACACGCCCATGTTCTGAAAAATTGATATTTGACAGATGCCCTGTGTCCTTTTGACAAAGTCATACTTGTGTGTGCGTGCGTGCACGTGTGTGAGAGTGTATATGTGTGTGCGTGAATTTCTGGGCCTGTCACTGCACCCCCTGTGCCTCACTTCCCCTCTCTGGGAATTGCCGAGGACATGTGTGGCTTTGGAATGAATAGAGGTCCACATCTATCGGGAAAAGCCAGGGGTTTCGAGCTCTGCACCCAGGGCTTGAGGCATCACAGCAGCATGCCTGTCCTCTCCTGAGCCTCCGTCTCAGCGCAGCTGGGGCTCCACGGACTACCCCCAAGGCTGCTGTGATGAAGTCACAGGCGATTGTCCCTTTCCTTTGACCAGACTTTCCTTTAACAGCCAGCGAAGCCTTGCCTCCTACTTGGAGAAATACATTTGAGAATTCAAATGCCCTTTGGAAGGCCATGTTTTGAAGTCACACTAGGCTAATAATGACCCAGAGCACAGATCTTTTTCTCTTAGTTTTCTCCCCCCATGAAAACTGTTTACCCTGCTCTTCCAAGAAGAATGGCCTCTGTTCAGTTACTGTCATCTCTGTCTGTCCTGTCGTGGGTGCAGCCATCCACTGAGCTCAGCAGACATTTATTGATGACCTGTTATGTGCTGACTGTGATACTTGGTGTCTGAGATACCGTATGAGTTTTCGGCAAGTATTCAACTGTAACGTTAACCTATCAGATGATGACGGACACAGACGGTGTGTGTGGAGCTGGATTTTTCCACTTTGCACATGGAGTTCACACGGCTAGAGGGAGGCTGGCAGTGCAGGGCTGCCACGACCCCTCAAGGATGTGGCTCTCACGCACCCCCGACCCTGCTCTGCCAGCCACAGCCTGTGGTTTTTGTCCTCAGTGTCCCTGATGGTTACTGAGCTTCTGGGCATCCTGCTTGCTTCTAGGGAGGAAGGAAGGGGAATGAGGAAGGCGGAAGGGTAAAAGCCTTCTCCCAGGACATGGTGTTTGTATTTGGGAAGGAAAGTCTCTAGGGGCCTGTGCCTTACTGGCTAGAACTTCACCACGTGGACCCGTCCCTGCAAGGAACAGTGGGAACTTGAGCATTTTACTTGTCACCTCTAGAAGAGAGGAAACAAAGGAGTAGAGGCTTCAGAGGGTGGTGAATAACCCCCCAGTGTCTGCCCCAGTTCTAGAGGTGCCCGCATGGGAGAAGCTCACACTGGGTGTGCACACACACACAAGCAGGACACGCGTCGCCACACTTCGGGGCCCAGCATGGAACCTGGTAACTGAGGATGCTGACTTGGACACAGCACCCTTGAATGGCACTGTATGCCTGCGTTTCTCCGCAGGCATATGACGCAGATGACCAGACTTTAGAGTCAGGTGTTCCAGTCGTCAGTGTATGTCGAGGTGTGGAGAATTCAGGTTACCTTCCCAAGGCCACTTGGTTGGTAAAAAGCATGGCTGGGCTGTGAGCACATGTCCCCAGGACCCCGGGCCCAAGGAGAACCTGATGCCGACACCCACTCCTTAGAGTTCACACTTGTGTTCAGAACCAGTCTCCGTAATCCTCTGAGCCCAGGAGCACTTGGCATTTTGATATACTTTGCCCCTCTTAAGTTGCGGGAAATCTTTGGAGAGGAGAAATAGGAAAAGTTATTCCTCTTTGGCTGTCAGAAGATTCTGAACTTTCTTTTGTCTTGAACGCAGTACCCGGCAGTGTCACCTGCTCCTGGATGTCTTCAACTCCACCGAGCATGAGCTGACCATCAGCACCAGGAGTAGCGAGGCGCTCATCCTGCATGCCGGCGAGTGCCAGCGGTAAGTGCTCCATGGCCCCTTGCACCGCCGCTGGCCGCCCTCTGCCTTCACCACCCTGCTTGGGAGGGTGTGGAGCTAATCCACTCCCGGTCCTGAGAGGACGGGCAGTTTGTCTCCCTTTCAGAGATATCGTAGTGGTTATTCAAGTTTGGTGGGAGAATCTGGAGTGGTTTTAAATTAGAGCTAAGTGCAAAGTAGGTAAAGCCGGGTGGCGTCTGAGGAAGTAACAACATGTGCTTTCGGAGCCCGCATTTGAGGACCTGGCAGCATCTGGGCATCTTCGCTGTTAAATTCTTAAGAAAGTGGTATCTGGGTGGGGCGTGGTGGCTCACGCCTGTAATCCTAGCACTTTCGGAGGCCGAGGCAGGTGGACCACCTGAGATCAGGAGTTTGAGACCAGCCTCGCCAACATGGTGAAACCCCATCTCTCCTAAAAATACAAAAACTATCCAGGTGTGGTGGCACATGCCTGTAATCTCAGCTACTCGGGAGGCTGAGGCAGGAGAATCACTTGAACCCGGGAGGCGGAGGTTGCAGTTAGCCGAGATTGATCGTACCACTGCACTCCAGCCTGGGCAACAGAGCGAGACTCTGTCTCAAAAAAAAATAATAATAAAAGGTGGTATCTGGAAATATTTGGCATCAGTTTGGGAACTGCATGTCAGCATCAATAGGAATTCCTTTGAGGAATTAATGCTACAGAAAGGCCAGGCTCAGACCTTCAGGAGGGGAGCACAGTCACTCAAACCCAGTCTCTGGAGGGCAAAGAGAGGTGGCACTACCAAACGCTGGCCAGGGTCAGCCTCAGGAGACCCCTGGCCCAGCAGAGGTGAGTGAAGGCTGATGCAGAAGTGAGAGCTGGTCAGGAGCGAAGCCAGGGCCGCCAGGGCATGTCTGGAGGCTGGTGGAGCTCAGTGACTCCGGGGTGATGCGGTCCTTCCATGGTGGAGCCCCTCCATGGGCCCCTGACCTGCTCCCCACTCAGCCTCCCTCCATACTAAGAAGCTGTGCCTCCGAGCCCAGCCTGGGTTCTAGGGACATCCGCTTACAGATGGAATTGCAGATGGAATAATATTTTTATTTTTAATTGCTAAAGACTTCAAACATACAGAAAATAACTTTGAACTTGGCATACCCACATCCTAGATTTTGCTTTTTTTTTTTTTTTTTTTTTTGCCCCAGATCATTCTCTCTCCCTCTCTCTGCCTCTTTCATTTGTTTTAAGGAAATAAAATGTTTTTTTAAATGGCAACGTTAACATTATCAATCAGTGGTGGAATATAAGTCCAAACCACGATGAGACAGCATGACACACTCATCAGGATGGTTAAAGACAGCACCAAATGTTGGTGAGGGTGTGAAGCAACTGGAACTCTCATGCCTTGTGGGTGGGGATATAAAATAGTGCAGCTGCTTTGGAAAAAGGTCTGGGGCTATCCTATAAACTTAAACGTACACTTACCCTTTGCCCAGCTATTTCAACCCTAGTTATTTATTCAAGGATAATATAAAACCTGTGGTCACAGGAAGACCTATACAACAGTGTTCCTAGCCAGAAAACAGAGGCCAGGTGTCCGTTACAGGAGAACGGACAAACAAATGGTGGTGTTTTCTTACAAACGGAATGGTAGTCTGCAACAAAAACGAATGAATTACTCATACACAGAACAGCACAGGCAACTCTCAGGAACAGGATGCTGGGTGAAAGGAGCCTTACCCAAAGTGCATATGCCATGAGATCCCATTGATACGAAATGCTGGAGGTTGCTGCAAAAGCAATTGCGGCGTTTGCCATTATTTTTAATGGTGAAAACAGCCATTACTTTTACACCAACCTGTAGAACAAGCAGAACCAGTTTATGATGGAAAAAGTCAGAACATTGGTTCCCTCCGGAGAGACTGGAACGGGGTTTGATCGGGAAAGGGCATAAGGGTAGTTTTCTGGTGACGGTCATGTTGTATGTATGAATCGGGTTTTGGGTCACACACATGTATTTATTTGTTAAAACTCAGCAAATAATCCCTTGAGATTTGTACATGTCCTGATGTATCAGCTTTGTATCAGAAGGAAAAACTAAATCAGTGTGGAGCTCTGTTAATGATATGCACGCTGGAGGGTTTGAGGTCCGGGCATGATGTCTACAGTAGTCTTTGAGTTGTATAAAATATCTGACAGATTAATAGATGGGCAGATGAATACATTAGGTGCTAACACAAATATAGTATAATGTTAACAGTAGCGTCTCTTAATGGGCATATGGGGTATTCAGTGTAAATTTTTTTCACCTTATATTTGAAATTTTTTAGAAGAAAGTATTGGGAAAAATAAAAGTAAAAATAGCTAAAGTCTTCTCTTCTGCCCACCTCATCCTATCTTCTTTTCTCTTTCCTTCCTCTTCAGGGTAATTTCTTTCTTAGAGGTGATGGTATCATTGCACATCTATGTTTTACTACTTTATTGTACATACATATATCTCCAACCAAACATTATTTTGAGAGTTTTTTTGTTTTGTTTTGTTTTTGATACGGAATCTTGCTCTGTCACCCAGGCGGGAGTGCAGTGGCACAATCTCGGCTCATTGCAACCTCCACTTCCTGGGTTCAATTGATTCTCCTGCCTCAGCCTCCTGAGTAGCTGGGATTACAGGCGCCTGCCACCACACCCAGCTAATTTTTGTATTTTTAGTAGAGATGGGGTTTCACCATGTTGATCAGGCTGGTCTTGAACTCCTGACCTTGTGATCTGCCTGCCTCAGCCTCCCAAAGTGCTGGAATTATAGGCAAGAGCCACTGGGCCTGGCCGAGAGTTTTTTTTTTTCTAATGACATCAGTGGTTCCATATCATATATGTCCTTTTAAAACTTTAAAAATCAGCATTATTCTTTGGAGCTAAATATAAATCTGGTTCTTTCATTTGAACTGCTATTAATATTTCATTGTGTAAATATGCCACTTTATTCATTTCCATGCTAATGCACTCACTGTGAGGTGGCTTCCAGGGTATTCATATTTAATGTGATTATTGTTAATGACATGCATGAATGTCAAGCTGGGCCCTGCAACCTTGTAGCAGGTCCTGCTTGGGCTGCTGGAAGCTAGAGATTCAATGGCTTGGGGGGCATTTATGGCCTGCCTTTGAGAGGTGCCATAGAACCCTCCTTCCCAAGATCCCTTGGACAGGACTTGTCACTTGGGTGTGGGAACACGCGTGGGCTGGTGTACGCTTCTGTGTGTATGAGCTGTGAGGGCTGTGGCTGGACGCTGCGGCACCTCAGGTTCGTAAGGGTGGGGACAGGTGCCTTCAGGGAGCACCGATGCATCCCCTGGGGTCTACGCCTTTGGCAGTGCTGGGTCCAGTGCTGCTGCATAGAGAACTGTCGGCCCTCGGACTACTCTTTCTTGTCTAAATGCCTTGATGTAGTCCAAGATCCCAGAGAACATAAATCTGGTCTTCTGATGACACTAGTATAAAACACTTTAAAGAAATTATAAATTGCTAAGCTTGTCCTGTATAGTAAGCTTGACTCATTCTTGGCAATGCGAGGCTGATGACATTAACAGTCCCAGCTGCAAATAATCACAATTTAGTCTTGTGCTTCAGGCTTTTTTGTTATTAAGTTTTTGCTTAAATTCTCATTTCTGAATGCTTCTAACTCGCTTATTCTTTTATTTATTCATAAAATATTCATTCAATAAATATTGATACTTCAGGAATTTGCTGTGTGGTAAGCCCGGCATCAGGCTTTAGGCGTGCCAAGGAGAATAAATAAGGGCCCCTTCTCTCTGGGGAGTGGCAACGCACTGGGACAAGTGTCTAACCCAGCCAGAGCAGCTGCCTTTTGCTGCCTGACAAGGGCATCTTGCTGTCCCGGGCTGGGTGGGAGCGGCAGGTGAACTAGAGGCCGTGAGGTTACATTTGTCTAGGGAGTCATGTTAGGTGCCCCCCCCCGCTGTGTCCACTGCTGTAGACACCCATGAATCCATGTGACAATGCCCTGAGTGCCTGTTTGGAAGGCTTGAGCCCTGAGCCCTAGAATGCATGATTCCCTTCCCCTCCCTTTCCCAAACCTCTCTCAGTGCCTCACCAGCCTCCTGGGGGTCAGAGGCACACTCAGCCTCCGTGGAGGGGTTGTGCAGAGCAGTGCAGGTGGAGGAAGGGAAATGGTTGTACCTTACTTCGCAACGCCGGGCAGCACCTTACAGACCTCAGACCTGGTCCCTGTCCATCCAGGCTTTGTCTCTTGAGTACCCAGTTCCTTCCCAGAGTCCTGAGCTAAACCCCTCTCCTGGCTCTTCCCTTCCCCTACGAGGAGGCACCCCTGCCACCCCCCAGGCTGTGCTAAACCTAAAGAAGCTTCCTCTGCCTGTGTTTTGCCCTCTGGAGTGGAGAGGGCGTGGACTCTGCCTGGAGGTGCGGGCAGTAGTGGGGCTGAGACTCCAGCTTAATCTCTGTCAGCGGGAGCGGCAAGCAGTGCTCTCACTGCTACCTGAGGGAGGCAGGTGCACAGCACTTTCCTCTGCAGATAGCACAGCCTCCTCTTAAAGGAAGAGCCAGATTCCTGGAATTAACATGGCTTTGATGCTGCCGTTTGCAGAACTGGCATTCAAAGGTGGCCTGCAATCTAAGAGAGAGACCAACCCCAGTTAGATAATTGTGGTGCCGCTGCCTCTCCTCCCTCCTAGTAGGAAGGGGTGATCTCATCTCACCCAGTGCAAGAGCTATGGATAGAAATGTGTCCCCAACAGCACGAGGAGGAGCAACATGCTTCCTGGGGGAAGAGAGGATGGAAATAGTATTTACCGAGCACTTCCCATATGAAGTCACATTCAGTCCTCATAATATTCTCATGTGGGAACAGTGTCCTCATTTTATAGATAAGCAGACTGAGTGGCTGATCAAAGCCACTTTGTGGAAGCCCGTCTGTCTGGCATCCAGCTCTGCCCTGTTGCTCCACACACCAAGGGGGGATGATGCTGGAGCCAAGCTTGGGATGGTGTGA